TCTGGCCATTAACAGCCACAAGCTGACACTTAACAGAGGTTTGAACACTTTCTGAGATTCATAGTGTTCCTAGGTTGATAAAAGCAAATGCAAAAGAAAACAACTTAAACCTGGTTCTCAAAGAATTGCTGAAGATGAAGTTCCAAGGAACATAATCTCACAATTTTTTTTAACATCTTAATTTTATTTTTTTCAGTGTTCCAAGAGTCACTGTTTATGCACCACACCCAGTGCTCCATGCAATTCGTGCCCTCCATAATACCCACCACCAGGCTCACCCAACTCCCTGCCCCCCCCCCAAAACCCTCAGTTTGTTTTTCAGAGTCCATAGTCTCATACTTCATCTCCCTGCTCCTATTTACCCCAGTTCACTTTTCCTTTCCTTCTAATGTCCTCCATGTTGTTCCTTATGCTCCACAAGTAGGTGAAACCATATAATTGACTCTCTCTGCTTGACTTATTTCACTCATCATAATCTCTTCCAGTCCTGTCCATGTTGATACAAAAGTTAGGTATTCATCCTTTCTGATGGAGGCATAATACTCCATTGTATACATGGACCTTATCTTCTTTATCCATTCACCTAAGGGCATCTTGGCTCTTTCCACAGTTTGGCGACCGTGGCCATTGCTGCTATGAACACTGGGGTACATATGGCCCTTCCTTTCACTACATCTGTATCTCTGGGGTAAATATCCAGTAGGGTAATTGCAGGGTCATAGGATAGCTCTATTTTTATTTTTTTGAGGAATCTCCACACTGTTTTCCAAAGTGGCAAAAAACACCCAAGGAAACAAGCTGCTAATGAGACTTTATCAGCAGACACACAACCAGGATCTGATTTGCAAATATTTAATATATTGGGACCTATCAGATCCTGACAACAAAACATACATTTATAGAAATAAAAGGGAATTAAATGTGTGAGTGGGGTATAAGAAATGATAAAAATAGCTAGGCAAATTTGGAGGGGAATTAAAACCATATATAGGGGCGCCTGGGTGGCTCAATCGATTAAGTGTCAGGTCATGATCCCAGGGTCCTGGGATTGAGCCCTGCTTCGGGCTCCTTGCTCAGTGGTGAGTCTGCTTCTTCGTCTGCCTGCTGCTCCCTGTGCTTGTGCTCTTGCATGCGCTGACAAAGAAATCTTTTTTTTTTTTAAGTGCCTCATAGAGTCTCTGACATATGTCCCTGATTGTTAAGTGCCACATAAAGGTTGCTTTATTATCACCTAACGTTCTTTTTCCAAGACATTCCAGAGCCATCTTGTAAACACGCAGTAGTCCTGTGTTTTGGTCAGACCCAGATCTGGAAAAACGTGTCTGAAAGGTCTGTCAGCTCTACCTTCAAAATATTCCCAGCATCTGATCCTTTCATACCTCCAGGCTACCACCCTGGTTCAGGCGGCCATCTTTAGATTCCTAACAATCTTGCTTGCGTCCTTACCCCTCCGCAGTCTGTCAGTTAAGGGTCAGGTTCCCTCCTCTGCTCAAAACCCTCCAGTGGTTTCCCATCTCAAAGAAAAGCCAAAGTCCTTACAGTGCCCTCCAGAGTCCTCCATAGCCTGCCACTTGCTACCTGCTGACCATCTCCTGAGCTCCCCGTGTGCCATCCACACTGGTGTTCACCAGGCATGAGCCCGTGTCCTAGTTGCCAGCTAGCACTTTTTCTCCAGATAATTGCATTGTTCACTCCCTAATAATACCCTCAAGCCTTTGCTCCCGTACTTCCTTTTTGAGAACAATATTCAAGTGAGCTCCTGCCACCCACCAGCATGCTCTGCCCTCCTTTCCCTGCTTCGTTTTTCCTCTGTAGCACTAATCACGTTACCTGACCAACTGTATTTTATTTGCCTCAATAGAATGTAAGCTCCATGAGGGCAGGGATTGGTTTTGCCTGAATTGTTCTTTGCAGTATGTCCCCAGCACTACTTGGAAGCCTGTGCCTCCTGCTGCTCTCCACTAGTTTTGCCCCTCCCCATCTCCTGGTGGTCGTTGTTGGTTCTATTTACAGGTGTTTCTGCTAGCTTTGGGGAACTGGGTGGCTCAGTGGGTTAAGCAGCTGACTTGATCTCAGCTCAGCTCCTGATCCCGGGGTCATGGGTTCAGGCCCTGCCTTGGGCTCCTTGCTGGGATGGCTTGGGATGAATAGATCAAAGGAAAGTTGAACCCAAGTCCAGTCTCAGCTTTATCATGTGTGCAGCACAATACCCCAACACTTTCTCTACCTTTACACGAGGAATAAGAGGGAAGAAGGAAGCATAGGTTTATCCTTTCCAGCCTCAGGGATTTTCAAGAGCATGAGGATCCCTTTAAAATACATAAATGTACAGCTTCTTGAAAGATGAAAAAAGCTCGTTTAGCTGTTTTAAAAGCTGTGACATTTGAAGGATAATTAAGCACTAGTTTTGAATTCTGGAACCCAGCTTTTCAGCTCGGGAACATAATTACTTTGTGTGCTTGGCAGGACAATTAGTGAAACAGATCATGTACTAAATTAGAACTACCATTTGTTGGTTTTCTGGCAAGGTGGGGTCCACTAATGGGCTATTTCCATTATGTTCTATGAAAATCACTTACATGGGTCATCACTCAGTAATGGGTGTTTTTTTCCAGGAGGCCAAATCAGATACTGGAAGTATCAATGTGGGAATCAGTTATTCAAACTGGAGTTACTGGTGACTGAACAGTACCCTACAACGCCCATCCCTCACCTCCCTCAGTGTGTAAATGGTAGGTGATAAGTTAGAGGATTACAGGTTCCCAGGATTGGAAGGCACTTCTTAACTTGGGAGTCCAAGCTCCCACCCGATACCAGAGGCTCAAGACACATTAGGGTTTTCGCTTTTTAAAAGTCAGCCCAGCCCTACTTTTGGGTAGCCCTTTGTTCCTTAAAGTCTCTAAGTCTTTGTCAATCTTCTGTCAAACCAGCTTAGCAAGTCTAGGTACACATTGGGACTTTTCAGACCAGATGCCAAGACCTTTAATATTCCTGCCTGTAGTATTTCTTCTAGTGGTTTTGGCCCTCCCTTCCAGCCCTCTGAATTATCCTTCAGCGTACAAATTCTACCCGTTACATTATTAACGTTACAGTATATTCTGACATTGCTACCTGTGTGGCCTCTGGCAACTTTAGCCTATGGTTGTTTATCTGTGAAATGGAGAAAATTGCTCACTTGCTGTCATGGTAAGGATTAACTAATACCTTTAGCATATAATAGACATTCAGAAACTCAAGTTTTGTTAAATAAGACAGGATTGGTGTTTCTAGTATACTAGAGTTCTCTCTTCTGAGTTGCCATTAGTCCTCACTTAAGTTTTCAACCAGCCTCATATGAATTCACCTTCATGGCTGTCATTAAGCCATAAGACTATCATGATAGATTGCTGCATGATTTCATTGTTGGGATCTTTAGGCATCCAGTCACAATTTGAGATTGAACTAATCCCATCTGTAGTTAATTCATACCTTCCTGGGGCACCTGGGTGGCTCAATGGGGTAAGTGATCTCAGGGTCCTGGGATTGAGCCCCACAGGGGACTCTATGCTTAGCAGGGAGCCTGCTTCCCCCCTGCACTTGCCCGCCTCTGCCTACTTAGGATGTTAAAACCATCTTAAATTCGTGCCTTCCTGTAGAAGGAACGTTAAGTGTGGATGTCAATGTGAATGTAGCCAAGAGCTCAAAACCAAATTTTCTTACTCAGAGCCTCAAAACACACCATCAGACCCCAATGTTTATTTGGTGTCACACTGTATCCAGATTTGCAGCATCCTCAGTCTTGTAAGTAGGTTAAGTCCTAAAATAAAATTGTAATCCATGTATCATGTTGTGTCCTACCCCCAACTTCAAGTACTAAATGCTGAGTGGGGATTCTGAATATCTAAGGCTTGTGTTTCCAGAAGCCAGAGCAGTCTCCTTAGGAATTTAGGGAGTAACTGGGAACCCACTAGCTACCACTACTCATTAATGACCAAAACTCCAATTTCCATTTGCAAAATTAGCACTCCTACTAAATACCTATTTTCTTAAGGATATTGGAATAACCCCAGCACTACTGACCTCATTCTTATAATCTATATTTTTAGGCCTTCTTTCAATTATGTATGGGGGTGGGGGATAATGGAGTCCCTTCCCTGTTGCGGCTGGCGCGACAAATTGACAAGGAACGTGAGGGTAAGAGGATGAAGAAAAGAACTCGAGAAGAAGGGAGATGGGGGCAGGAGGAGCTAAGTTTATTCAAAGCATTAAGGCCATATATATAGTGATATTACAATAGGAGAAGCAATACACCTGTGTCTAGTTAAACCACCACGAGTTCCCATAATAAGTTTCACATTTGACTATAAGCAGACCTCATGACGCCAAATGGCTGATGCTAGTACAATTGTTCCGTATTGATACAGCAAACCTGAAAGTAATTTATGGGCTGTACTAGGGCATTAAGGACCAGCCATGAACCATTTATGACCCCAACCGAATTGTTCTCATTTGTTTAGCAAGTGTGTGGGAAGTCACGCAGGCAAGCGCAGAACACATAGCACAGGCCCTTTCTCAGTGCTACTCAACTTTTCCGTCCTAAACCTTTTGTTAGGTTAATCGGACTTTAAAGGAGGCACAAGTGAGGGCCTGGTTTGGTCCTCGTCTCAAGCCTTATTGCGGCCTCCCACACTTCCTAATACAATGTATCAACACTTCCAAGAGACCCCTCACCGTGGTGCGCAATAGCAAGTATTTTGCTGACAGGGATTCGTTCAGCCCTAGAAAATTTCTGCAAGTCATACAGCTCATCCCAGGTCATGTCACTGTTCTAAATCAACACAAATACAGTATTCTAAACAAAAAGGTTGTAGTACATTCCTCTGCTTTTACTTTCAAACCCAAGACATCCTGTAAAATACACATGAAAAGGCCATTACTTAAACTGTCACAGGGTCTTAAACTTCAAAGGTGTCCTATTTCCCTTGTTTCATCCCATTAAATTGAAATAAGCACAAGCACTCTTGATCAGATGGTTCCTAAGAATTTATTGAAATTGATAATTTCTTCTATCCCATGAGCATCCATTCAGGTGCCTGCAAGGACAAAGAAGCTATTTTTAGTCACATTTCTGTGTTTCAATTCTAATGATATTTTGAGTACACAGAACATCAGATCTTTTATAATCATCAAGTGATCAGTGAGAGAGTTCAAGTTGGAGTGAGATCATCATGTATTCTGGAGTACGACAACAACAGTACTGCTGTGTTCAAGCCTCACCTTTTAACTGTTAAGCTGCTCTCATAACTGGACTGCTGCTCTCGTAACTGCCCTAAAAGCAACAATTCCAAGTTAATAATGGTAAAAAACAAAAAAACATTGTGATACTTGTCAATAAAGTAACCTCAGAATCAAAATGGAACGGTTTTAGGAGTGATATCATTCTAATTCATTTGGCAGAATCACTACATCACTGGTTACATTCTAACTTCCTACACAGACCAGAGGCCAACTTACCTTTAAATCTTCAGGTTGACAAGTCGGCCTGTTTGAATACGGAGGAAAAAAAGTCATTTAAAATTTGTCTACTTAGTTTTTCTCATTTTTAACTTTCTGAGAAAAGGGCAGCAAACCCATTCCACACATTATGACAACTGTGTAGGTGTCATACAGTGTCCAGGCCCATACACCATGTAACACCCTGAGTAAATCCTACTGTAAACTCTGGACTTTGTTGAGAACCATCTACTACAGATTCATAATCGTAGCCAGTCTCACTCCAGTGTCCAATGTTGATAGTGAAGTGTGTGAAGACCGGATACACAGAAATTCTACGTTGTTTTGCTGGGAATACTAAAACTGCTCTGGAAATGAAGTTTATTAAATAACTCATCCTGGCCTCATCTATTCAGATTTATATGCCATAAAAACTTCCTGGCAGGGGCACCTGGGTGGCTCAGTGGGTTAAAGCCTCTGCCTTCAGCTCAGGTCACGATCTCAGGGTTCTGGGATCGAGCCCCGTATGGGGCTCTCTGCTTGGCAGAGAGCCTGCTTCCTCCTCTCTCTCTGCCTGCCTCTCTGCCCACTTGTGATCTCTATCAAATAAATAAAAAAAATAAAAATAAAAAAAACTTCCTGGCAAAAATAGACTGCATTTCTCCAGTTGTGAATCCTTAGAACTATTTGTGTTTGAGCCACTATAGTATCCAAACCTGAACATTTTCTGTGGTAAAAAGGTCTTAAATTTTCTTTTTCAAGGGTATGGATAGGATTGCTGCAGCCAGATACATCAGATAGGAGCGAAAGACAATTTTGCTCATCACTGCTAGTCTGCTGAACTATGGTTTCATCATTGTATCGGCTTTAAATTAACACTTCCCATAGAAACCAAAGTTGAGATTTCTGTACCTTGGCTTAAACACCCCGTGTTCCAGGCCTTGTAAGCTGCCCCAACTCTTCATACCTGCAGAAATTTAGTCAAACTTAGTAATAAATAATATTAAGTAGGTTTCTGAAGTCTTCCCAGTACTGTTTCAGTTTTCAAAAATCTTCACTCTTTCTCAGAGAGATTCCCATCTGTTTTTAATTTCAAAAATCATCACTAACAGCATCTTCCTAGTAACCAAGTAAGATCACTAGAATACATACCTTTATATAAAAAGTTCTTCAAACTCAGCACCTAACAAAAAGATACTGCTTTAGACACATGTCACAATAGCCAAGTCCTCCTCCCAACACCAGAAAACAGTGTACTTCAGAAATACAGACCAGACTTCAGAGAACAAGCTGTTTTCATGTCTTACCCCAAGCAAGCCATCCATGATAGGGGCCTGTAAGCTAGAAAAGAAAAAAGACATTTTATTGAAATGTTAATCATCATCGAATTCTTCTTGGAGTTTTTGTACAGGGCTCTTCAGTGTTAACTTTGTCTACATGCTCATTTCAGGTCAGACATTTGATCAACATCATTTCAAAAACCCTGTTGAGAACATGCTCAACATGCATTCACTAACCAGCCACAAAACTAGTTAACTTGGTAGTTAAGCATTATCCTTCAGCATTCGGAGTAGTTTTGGACCTACTAAACGTTAATACTTACCCCATAATTGGTCTGTCCAGACATGTTAAAGACTCAAGTCCACCTAAGAAATAATAATAGTTAGCAAGATACAAAAAATGAATTTTTCTCTCACAAATCTAAAAATGCCTGATATCAGGTAGAGCTAATTAAGACCTTCATGTTCAGTCAGTATTTGCTTATCATCATACAGGCTGGTTTTTACAAATGACAGTGTCCTAGCTAATGGTAACAGGACAGGATCTGGCCCTTTATTTAATGCATTGAAGCATTTCATGGTAGGAGTGCTTTCTGTGCATAAGGCAATGCTAAAAAGCCATTAGTGGCGTTCTTTGTCATGTTTGCCCAGTTACCAATGTTTAGTTCAATGTAAATTGTACTCACCCCTCCAACTTCCAGCTAATTCTGTGTAATGCCTACAGAAAAGGATAAGGTTAGTGACATTTTGCTTATGCTATACCAAACCAATTTTACTGTCAACTCAGATACATCAGACAAATGGTGTCTCTCTTCATGATCCAATCTGCTGAACTATGCAACCATCATAGTATCTGTTTTGCAAGTTCCGCAAGCATTTAATAGAAGATACCAGAGTACAGAAGTTAACATTTGTTTTAAAATTAAAAAAAAAAAAAAGTACTGAGTAAATATGAAGTATATAAAAGGTTTCTCACCTGCCTGCCCATAGCCAGGGTGTTTAACTTCAGGATCTAGGAAGAAAAAGTTTCACGTAAACTTAGTGGCAATCTATAAATTCTTTAAATCACCATTTTGTGTGCCTCAGTTAGTGTAAAGGTGGTAATAATTCTCGTCATTCTCACAGTCAAGAGTAGCAAATAAATGTCATCATTGTGGCACTTTGAACCTAACTTCCCCTGAGAGAATTTCAGTAACTTACCTTGCCAGCCACTTCCGCCCCTTCAACACGAAACTAGGAAACAGACAAGGAATATCCAATGAAACACACCGCGCGGCCAAGTTAATGACCAACTTTCTAACTACTTAAGCCTCAGCAGAATTTTTCAGAAATCCCTTCTGTCCACTACTCTTAAACCATCACGGGCTTAACAAAACCACCACCTCCAAGCAGATCTGATTCCTACCACGGCGTTTACCCGTTTCTTACCTGTCCATCAGAAGCCATCAAAAGCCACACTGCATTCATGTCCGGCACCATTCCTAGGGAAAAGATCAGGATCTTTAAGACACCACTTTGTTCTAGTAAGTCTAAGCATGTCTTTTTCCTACCATGTATCTTACATCTTACACCTGCCACAATTTCATGACTTTAAGGGTGCACTTCACCGGTTAGAAAAAGCGCAAGGCACACGGTGGGGCGCCACGACGTAAGTAACGGTGCACCGCGGAAGGCAGCCGATGGGCACCACGTGGACTACCCCATCCGCCGGACTTCCTCAACCAGAGGCCGGAGGCGGCCCGGGCCCAGGTCATTAACAAAGGCCCACTCAGGTGACTCGGCATGCGCCGCCATCAGAGCCGTTGGCATTCATCAACAGTCTCAGATGTCCCTACCAACGCAGACTTCATCACAGGCAGGGAACGCGAGCCCAGGGGTTTCTCGCAGTTCAGCCCCCACAACCCGAGTAGCAGTTTAGGCCGCAGCCGCACCCAAGGCGTAATCGTCTACCATCTTCATCTTGTGAACCCTGCAAAGGATCGCGACCGGCCGAGAAATACATGTATGCATAAGATAAACTGAACTGCCAAGAACTGGAGGCCTCGAGCGAAGAAGCCATTACGCTAAAACAACACTCACACGCAAAACGCCAACTCCCAACCTCGAAAGACCGAGATGGCGTCCCGGCGCTAGTATATAAGGATGGGTTTTTCGTGACGTCATGACGTACCCTCCCCGCCAGCGCCGGCTTCAGCTCCTCCCCCCCTCCTCCCTCCATCTCTTGCTCCGCCTCTAGCCACACCCCCTTCCTCTTGGCCCCGCCCACCTCGCCGTTACGGGCGGAGACACGGCCGCCCGCGTGACTCAGGGCTCCCGCCCTCCGACCGACTGAGAAGGAAGAGAGGGGAGGGGGCGCGAGGGACGGAAAGCGCTGGGGGAGAGGGAGGGGGGCGGTATAAGGGTGAGTGATTTCCTTCCGGCACGTCGCCCGCTCCGGGGGAGGGGGTGGGGGGTTTCACTTCCGGGACGGTGTTCCGGCCCATTCCGGCCCATTTCCACCCCCGGAGGTAGGTGCTGCTCCTTGACTGGGCTCGGGCCCCGCACTCCGGTCCCGCTGCCCTGCACCGGGGCCGCCTTGCCCGGGCTCCGCCGCAGCCTGCTCCTGGGGCGCTCGGCCACTCCCCTTCACCCCACCCTCAAGGCACCGAGACCTTCCACCCCCTTGGCCCCGGGCCGGGCTGAGCTGCCGGCCCCGCCCCCTCGCCGGGCCCCTCCCTCAGGACCCCGGGATGGGCCGCCCCCTCCCCCACCGCAACTGGGACACACCCAGATACACACACCCACCTCTGGGCAGCTCCCCGCCCGCCTACGCTTACCGCCTGGACTGGGTCCCGGGGCGCCGCCCCCTTCCCGGTGCTCTGCCCTCACCTGATTGCTCGCTCCCCAGCCTCGCGCCCGTCTGCTCCCCCGCTTCTCGGTGACATTTCGCCCTTCTGCTAGTTCTCGCTACCCACGCTTCCTAACGCAGGCTGAAGCCCCTCAGATACCGGAGTGGCCAGCCCCATGGCGTTCCCGATTCTCCCTCTTACAGCTCTCACCCTTCCAGTGCCGACGGTAAAGACCTTACTCCAGGGGCTTCCTCCTCACTGGGGAATTGCTGGAAAGAGCAAACAAAAAAGGCGCTGGTGTAGGCTCCAAAATAAACACATCTGAATTCATGATGGCATCGACAGAGGCTCTTATTGGATTAAAAGTTTCAAAACAAACAAAAACGCTTTGGAAAAAGGTCAGATTGGCTAAAGTTGGTTCTTGAAAGCAGTGTATACACTTCCCTTCTTACCGATAAGTGTGTCGTAAACGCGGGGCTGTACTGTGAGCTTGTCAAGATAAGTTCCTGAAATTTTAGATCTTAAGATAACTGTGTAATGTCTTACAACGTTACAGATTAATGGAAACATCGGGCTGTAGTCAGTGTCTTCCTGTGGAGATTTAGACAGACTACTCTCAACCACTGAAGGCTATTGGATGCAGTTACCGGCATAATGTTTCAGTCCTTTTTTAAAAATCTTTTAATGTAAAAATATTGACCATACTTGGTGAATGATCTGGGTTTTGAGTTTTTGGTCTTTTTTTTGTTTTGTTTTGTTTCTTTTTTAAACAGTCTTGGGGAATGAAATTTTAGAATCAGTATCATCACCACCCTGAAATTCCTAACTTTGAATTTAGGTAGAAGTAGGTTTACCTACTCATCCCTGATTCTGAGAGTGAACTTTAAGTTCTCTGCATCTTCAGTGAGTTCTGACACAGCTGTGGCATGTTTCCTAACCTAGAGTTTGATCCAGAGCCCTAAACCCAAAGCCTTTTGGTGGGGACTCTGACTCTTAAGCTTAGAAATAGTGGCTTGTATTCGTATGGGCTATTAGCGACCTTTTAAATAATAAACCTAACTCTCGAAGCTTGTAATAAAGTATTCAAAACAAGAGGGATACCTAATCAACTCATTTGTGTGTAATTACATTTATTCAAAGAGCTTACTACTACTTTCTCCTCCAAAGAAACGTCGCAGGATTTTATATTCAGTGTGCAAATACTTTATGACCAAAGAACAACAACAACAAAAAAGAACTGTCACAACTGCATTTGCTCCTTCTGTTCTGTTGAATTTATATTTTGATGTTGCATAGGTTATTAGTAAGGGACGTGTGGAAATAGCTCGAGTTCATAGAAGTCTAGTGATCACATTTTGGTTTTAAGGTTGTTTGAAAAACCTGTTGGTACTTCTTTTCCATGTCTAAACGTAAAGAAATTTCTCTCTTTTTACTTGGAGATTTTGAAATTTTACCCACAACTAGTTTTAAATACATTTAAATTGGAAAGCCTGAGAGGAGTGAAATGCTAACTACTGATGATTATGGTTTCCTCTTTCAGCAGGGTTGAATGCCTGCGTACACCCTCAGGCACGACCATGGAGAAAGGTGGGAACATACAACTGGAGATCCCTGACTTCAGCAACTCTGTCCTGAGCCATCTAAACCAGCTGCGCATGCAGGGACGCCTCTGTGATATTGTGGTCAACGTGCAAGGACAAGCTTTTCGGGCTCACAAAGTGGTCCTGGCTGCCAGCTCACCCTATTTCCGGGATCACATGTCCTTGAATGAGATGAGTACTGTCTCCATTTCAGTCATCAAAAACCCCACTGTTTTTGAACAGCTCCTCTCTTTCTGTTACACGGGGCGGATATGCCTGCAACTGGCAGATATCATCAGCTACCTGACGGCTGCCAGTTTTCTGCAGATGCAGCATATTATCGACAAATGTACACAGATCCTGGAGGGTATTCATTTCAAAATTAACGTGGCGGAAGTTGAAGCCGAGTTAAGTCAAACGAGGACAAAGCATCCAGAAAGACCTCCAGAATCGCACAGGGTCACACCAAATCTAAACCGTTCCCTTAGCCCTCGGCATAACACCGCAAAGGGAAACCGGCGAGGTCAGGTGAGCGCTGTGTTGGATATCAGGGAGCTCAGTCCTCCCGAGGAGTCCACCAGCCCCCAGATAATTGAACAGAGCTCTGATGTCGAGAGCCGGGAACCCATTCTTCGAATCAACCGAGCAGGACAGTGGTACGTGGAGACAGGAGTAGCAGACCGAGGGGCCCGCAGTGATGATGAAGTCAGGGTCCTTGGAGCCGTACACATCAAAACCGAGAATCTGGAGGAGTGGCTCGGGCCTGAGAATCAGCCTTCCGGAGAAGATGGGAGTAGCGCAGAGGAAGTCACAGCCATGGTGATTGACACCACAGGCCACGGTTCTGTGGGACAGGAAAATTACCCTTTAGGATCTTCGGGAGCCAAGGTGGCTCGGCCAACAAGCAGTGAAATTGACAGGTAAGGCTTGTTTTCCTTGTTCGTCTAACCGCTGTTGAGCAGACACAGCTGAAGCAGGCCCTCCGTGTGGTACAGAGTGCATCTTCCTTGATGTTCTTAGCCAAGACAAGCTGATGTTGGGGAAACTGGAGGCATGCCAAAAGACTTGCATTCTTATTTTTTTAAAGCGGGAAGCTCCTAGTCGTGAAGTATTCACAGTGTTGTGGGAACTATGGTAAAGTTAGACACTTCCATGAATCAGGATAGCAGCTGCAGCCACACTAGGATCAGTAATTGCCAGGGCCTCCTCGGATTTCCAGGCCGGGAGCTGATCATCAGCTGGGAGCCTGGCATCTTTGCCTTTCCGTGGTATGTTGTCACACAGGTAGGTGGCCTCGGGGACTTTTTCTCTCCTTTGTAGCACTGTTTACTTTTCTTTGCCTCCACCCACCAAATTCGAGGAAGCATGGTACCAGCGCAGATTGTTCTTTTTAGTGTAATCACAGTAATTCCAAAGAAACTTTTTTGGATGCTTTTCCCTTTTTTTTTTTTTTTTCATTTGCCGTTTGATAATATCTTCCCAGTTTTTTTTTTTTTATTGGTGACTGCTGGCACCACAAGCCTGAGAGTCGCTATTTTCCACCAGTGCTACAAATGCCCTATGCCTCACTTTTCTTTATCTAATATTTTGCAGATGTTAGAACTTTTTTTTTTTGGTGGAAGTAGCAATAATTCTTTTTTTTTTAATATTTATTTATTTGACAGAGAGAGACACAGCGAGAGAGGGAACACAAGCACAGGGAGTGGGAGAGTGGGAAGCAGGCTCCCCCCTGAGCAGGGAGCCCGATGTGGGGCTTGATCTCAGGACCCTGGGATCATGACCTGAGCTGAAGGCAGAGGCTTTAACCCACTGAGCCACCTAGGTGCCCCAATTCTTTTTTTTTTTTTAAAGATTTTATTTATTTATTTGACAGACAGAGATCACAAATAGGCAGAGAGGCAGGCAGAGAGAGAGAGAGGGGGAAGCAGGCTCCCTGCCGAGCAGAGAGCCCGACGAGGAGCTCGATCCCAGAACCCTGGGATCATGACCTGAGCCGAAGGCAGAGGCTTCAACCCACTGAGCCACCCAGGCGCCCCGGAAGTAGCAATAATTCTAATCTAAGTAAACTGAAAGTCTCAGGTGAAAGAAAGAAATATTACCAACTTAAATTGGTAACATTTTTTTTTTCACTCTTGAAAATAAACAAGGGGCACCTGGGTGGCTCATTGGGTTAAAGCCTCTGCCTTCGGCTCAGGTCATGATCTCAGGGTCCTGGGATCAAGCCCTGCATCAGGCTCTCTGCTCCGCAGGGAGCTTGCTCCCTCCTCTCTCTCTGCCTGTCTCTCTGCCTACTTGTGATCTCTGTCTGTCAAATAAATAAATAAAATCTTTAAAACAAGAAAAAATAAACTAAAATTGACTGCGTGAATAGTGAAAACTAAGGAAGCTATTACTTTGGTTCCCACCTGGTCTTGAAAGCGACATGGGTGTCAGAGAAATTCAGAGAGCAGATCCCGTATCCATTATAGGTGGTCTCTTCTTGCGTCCTTCAAAGTTAAAATCTCCTTGTGCACAATACTTATTGCCCCCTGTGTTAGCACTGTGTCCACTGTCAAAACTGTATCAGAAGTAATGGCTTTGGGTGCAAAGATTTTTAATCTCCATGATCTGTATCAGCAGTCTGAAATATATAACAAGTTACTATGGGTACTGGGGGAAGGAACAATCAAAAGCCTAATAGTTATGTAGAAGAAACCAAATAATAGACCCAGTTTTAATTTATGCTTATATGGTCTCCCAGTACTTACGGCTAGAAGCTTTTATTTAGCCTAGTTTCCCCAGGCCCTGTGGCCTATCTGCTGTGTCGTTTTGTGTTTGTTAAATTTACTAAGGCAGCCCTTTCTTAGATCAGATCCTATACTGACTTCATGAAAGTATTTCTTAGTAATCTGTTTTTCTGGTTGTTCCCCTTCCTCAGCCATGGGATAAAAAGGATAGACATCACTATTCCGTAAGTTCCTTGATGCTACTTGTCTATCAGTCCCCTTTTTGCTCCTCTTCCAACAGATTTAGCCCCTCCGGCAGTGTTGTTCCCTTGACCGAGAGACACAGAGCCAGAAGTGAGTCTCCTGGGAGAACGGATGAGCCTAAGCAGCCCAGCTCCCAGGTATGTAATGGATTTAGGGCTGCTGCAGTGGTTGAAGGAAGTGCCACTGTGTGTGAACAGAACATAATGAAAAAGAAAGAAACGATGTAGGAAAGGTAACAGTGGCCCTGTTAACTAACTACCATATTTGATTACTTCTCTTCTTTGCTCTGGCTTGTGAGCATGCAGGAAATACACTTTTGTTGGCAGCAGAGTTTGGGAAGTGAAAAAAGATGAGATTGTGGAACACTTTCCTGATTATAGGAACCAGTCTCTATTCCTGACTGAAAATAATATAAATAACCCCTGAAAACTACATGCAGGTAATTTAGGACCTGGGATGGAGAGATCTGATTTTGTACTCGAGTGGGTGTAATATTACATAATTTCTGATTTTTTTTTTAAAGATTTTATTTATTTATTTGACAGAGAGAGAGATCACAAGTAGGCGGAGAGGCAGGCAGAGAGAGAGAGAGAGAGAGGGAAGCAGGCTCCCTGCTGAGCAGAGAGCCTGATGCGGGACTGGATCCCAGGACCCTGAGATCATGACCTGAGCCGAAGGCAGCGGCTTAACCCACTGAGCCACCCAGGCGCCCCATAATTTCTGATTTAAATAGTAGCATATAATGGGGCGCCTGGGTGGCTCAGTGGGTTAAATAGTAGCATATATTTGTAAATAAATTGTGTATGCATTTTGTGTGTGTGATTGCTTTTTTTGTATGCTGGTATCTTTTCATTTTTTTTTTTTCTTCCGGAATCTTTTGTTCGACCAAAATGTTCTAGAAAGGATAGGAATGATGTTTTCCATCTTTTTTGTAACTCTCCCTAGCAAGTAGTGTAAGTAGTTGGTATTTTTGTTTATTTGTTCTCATAAGTCTGTATCACTGAAGATTGATATTTCAAAAGATTGTGCGCTTACCAAGTAGAACACAGTAAATTGTAAATATATTTGCTCTTTAAAAGGAAACACTGGTGGGTTAAGATTGGATAGCTTCTGCATTGTATGATCGTATCTTATTTAGTTTTTATGTAAACCATCGGATGTTTATTGTGTCCACAGTATACTAACAGCAGTAGGACATTGTTAGAAACTGTATTTATTGTACGTTATCATGCCAGGGTACCCGAAAAGGAAGGTAACTGTTAGAAGATAGTTTTTTGGTTCTAATAACGTGTTAGAGAAAATGTTACGAGCTTGGAGGAAAAGTAACTTCATTCATATAATTAGGACCCGGATTTTCTCTTCACCTCTCCGGTAGGAGGCAATGACCCTGTGAAAGTAACTGTGAGGCAAATACATACAGCAGTGGGACAGGCCTTACAACCACCGGGGTGGGTAAGACAGACTAACAGATACACAGAACACCAGCAGGAAAGACTGCAGTGACGTGAGGAGTGGTGCTGGGGGAGCGGGAGTGCTCACCGCCGGTTCTGACAATCAGTGTCCCCACAGCAAAGTGTCCTTCAGGAGAGAGGAAATGCACTTTTTCAAGAAGTGGTTAGAAAGAGATAACTTATTCATATGTAGATGGGAATAGGGATAAAAATGGGAGTTCTGCAAGGGAGTTTACCTGACCAAAGCAGAAGGTACAGGCTATAAAGCAAATAAGTAATACTATCTGAAGATGGTATTTATTAAGAGCTGAGTTTAGGGGCGCCTGGGTGGCTCAGTGGGTTAAAGCCTCTGCCTTCGACTCAGGTCATGATCCCAGGGTCCTGGGATCAAGCCCCACATCGGGCTCTCTGCTCAGCAGGGAGCCTGCTTCCTCCTCTCTCTGTCTCTGCCTGCCTCTCTGCCTACTTGTGATCTCTTTCTGTCAAATAAATAAATAAACATTAAAAAAAAAGAAAGAAATGTATTCATTATAGGGAATAATTCACTTAAAAGGATGACTTAAAAGACTTAAAAATTAAGTACATTTTAAAAGATAAAATGAGGGGCGCCTGGGTGGCTCAGTGGGTTAAAGCCTCTGCCTTCGGCTCAGGTCATGATCCCAGGGTTCTGGGATCGAGCCCCGCATCGGGCTCTCTGCTCTGCAGGGAGCCTGCTTCCTCCCCTCTCTCTCTGCCTGCCTCTCTGCCTACTTGTGATCTCTGTCTGTCAAATAAATAAATAAAATATTAAAAAAAAAATAAAAGATAAAATGATAGCATAGATAACTAAAATGCATTTACTTTCTGCTTGTGGACAGTACTGGTATGATACTTTCCTTAAAGTTAGGCAGGAGTTTTTTTTTAGAGAATAGATACCCTTGAGATTATGAATAGTATTGTAAGTTTGTAATATTTAATACTAGTTAACGTTTACTTAGCTACATTAAGTACTTTAGCATAACTCATTCAGTGCTCATCGCAACCTAGCTGGTAGATGCTGTTATGATACTCATTTAACGGATGAAGTAATTACATAACTTGCTCATGGTCACACATTAAGTAGGATTCAGATTTGAACCCACATTTCAACACCGTTAATTGCTACACAGGGTAATCGCATGCACTCAGAATGTTTCATGGTATGTTTATTGTGTTTGAGTCTCCTGAGAATTCTCTTGAGAGAATTGTTGAGCTGGCAGAACATGTACTAACCTTTTAATTTTGTGGATGAGAAAACTAAGCCTCAGAGAAGTTATTCTGTGCTTTGTCCAGGAACTTTTAGTGGGCTAATCCTTCGTTCTTTATGGGAGTTCAGTTTTGATTATCCAGGGAAATGGAGCAGAAAGAAATGTTATATAAACCAAATGAGAAATCATCCAAAACCTCAGGCTTACTATTCAACACTTGACTTCACGTACTGCTTCCCAAGCTTGCTGAGAACTGCTTCTGTTCTGTTGGAAATGCTGGAGACACTGTCAGTTTACATATGTGAAAGGAGACAAAACTCATTTTTAGAAATTCAAGAAAAGGGCACAGAGTTAGTTACGAGTTAGATGAGTCTTTCTCCAGTTAATCCAGAGTGAACTTTTGCATTTTCTTCTCTTTGCATTGGTACATTAGCTTCTGCCAAACATCTGTAATTGCCTCATACATTTTTATACTGCTTATATACACATACAAGCTTTTTATTCAAAACATTACATTATATATATGGTATTTATGTGTATACATATAATATTTCAGAAGTCAGCAGACTGAAAATATCAGTAATTTCTGAATGATGAGATTTTAATAAAGAATTTTGAATGAAAAGCATTTATAAATCCAAAATGTTTAGGGGTGCCTGGCTGCCTCAGTTAGAAGAGCATGTGACTCTTGATCTTGGAGTCATGGGTTCAAGCCCCAACTAAAAAAGTAATAGTAATAAACTTTCAAAAAATGGTTATAAAAAGTAAATCCAAGATTTTTATATGATTCATTAAAAGAAATATATTCTTCCCACTCTCAGCTTCCAGGTAGGAGGAGCCCTTGTTTATTTCATATATTAAAAAATTTAACCATTTACTTTGTTAATGTTCATATTAGGTAAAACAAAACAAGGTCTTTAATTGATATAGATGAATTACTGGGTTTTTTAGGGGTGGTAGTGGTAGTTTGATTATATTAAGAAAAATAATCTTTGTCTTTTAGAGATACATTAGTAGGAGATTTATGGATGAAATTATGTCTGGAATTTTCTTCAAAAATAATATGAGAGGGGCACCTGGGTGGCTCAGTCAGTTAGGCATCCAACTCTTGATTTTGGCTCGGGTCATGACCTCAGGGTCATGAGATGGAGCCCGTGCTCAGTGCAGGAGCCTGCTTAAGATTCTCTTCCTCTCCCTCTCCCCATCCCCCTGAGGCTCACTCTAAAAAATAATAATAATCTGGGAAAGGAGAGAAATAAGTGAGGTTAAAGAAGAAAAAATTCTCCATTGGATGATAATTTTTGGGTGATTGGCGATTCAGCATACCATTCTGTCTAAAATTGTTAATGAAAAGTTAGGAAAATATGTATACTTTGACCTTCATAAGGAAAAATAAATCAGAAAGAAAAGGAAAGCTTTTCTTTTCAGTAATCTGAAGGTTTAGTGATGTAATTAACAGCAGCGTTGTAATGCTACTTTTATAACAATCGCTTTTTTTATGTTTTAGATATATTTGTTACCACAACATAAAAAATTTAACTTTGGCAGGGAGATAGTTTTAAAGGAGAGATTGGAGAGATAATATATACATCATGGATTATTCTACTCTATTTTATTTTATTTTAAAGATTTTATTTGTCAGAGAGCAAGCACAAGCAAGGGAGCAGCAGGCAGAGGGAGAAGCAGGCTCCCTGCTGAGTAAGGAGCCCAAAGCAGGACTCGATCCCAGGACCCCCGGGATCATGACCTGAGCCAAAGGCAGACTCTAACTGACTGAGCCATCCAGGCATCCCAGATTATTCTATCTTAATAATCTGTTTAAATCAACTCAAAACCACTACAAACAGGTGTATAAAGCGAGACGATAATACGTCTGTGCGCCGTATTGCCAGCGTAACCTTCAGTGTAAGCTGTTTGAAAAGTGAATAAGCAGCATCATGAGGAATATGTATTGATCCTATTTCTCTTTGTTTGGTTTTTGTTCAGAAATTTTATCTTTTGTTCAAAGGGCAAAATCAGAAACCAAGTCTTATGCTTCTTTCTCTGTAGTTATCTGTCATTGTCTTTGGTGGACAACGGTCAGTGAATACTTAATGAGTATCAATTTGTGAAAAGGGTACAGGAAGGAATAATTGAGTTAGTAAATCCATATCTCAGTCTTGTTTCCTTTCCCACCTCTTCTGCCGATTTGCTATGAGGTCAGTTACAGTTTGAGTAGAACGAAAATCCTATGTATCGGTATGGCACTAACATATTTTTGGGTAAAGAACATTGTTACTGACAAACTGTATATCTTTTGTAAAGATAGTTACTGCAGGATTAGATTTTGGTGTTAATGATAGTGCCACGAATAGAATTTATGATGTGTTTGCCACACATAATGTATTCTCTGCCATCATATATTGTTATCATTGGCCATGTCACATGTGGCTATTTAAGTTTCAATTTTAATTAATGAAAACAATTAAAATTAAAAATTCAGTTCCTCAGTCAAACTAGCCATATTACAAAGGCTTAAGAGCCACATATGGGTAGGAGCTACTGCATGAGATGGTACAGGTTATAGAACATTCCCATCATCACAGAAAGTCCTACTGGGCCAGCACTGCCTAAGGGCCTACGTGATCGTTGAGAGTTCAGAGGATGGTACCACTGGCCTAAGGTTCTCCTGTGACTGTAGAATATGACATTCAGCAGGGGTTTGATGAGCAGGCTGGTTGTCAGCCCAAGTAACTCTGCTGTCTTGCTCTTTGAAAGAAATCTGAGTGTCCTAAGATTGTTCTTTGAAGTATTATGTTAATATCTTTAACTACATGTTTTTTGTAGCAATTACTTTCCTGTTTGGATCTCCTAAAAATTAGCAGATGGCTTAGTATGAGAAGTGAAAAGAGATTTGATCTCTCTTAACATGTGTACTTAAGCATAAGTGTCCTTTCTTGCTTTCCTCACCTGGCACAGGTAGAGGAGTCCGCAATGATGGGAGTAAGTGGCTATGTGGAGTATCTCCGGGAGCAAGAAGTATCTGAGCGGTGGTTCCGGTACAACCCCCGTCTCACCTGCATCTACTGCGCCAAATCTTTCAACCAGAAGGGGAGCCTGGACCGCCACATGCGCCTGCACATGGGTATCACGCCATTTGTCTGCCGCATGTGTGGCAAGAAGTATACCCGGAAAGATCAGCTAGAGTATCACATCCGCAAGCACACAGGTAACAAACCCTTCCACTGTCACGTTTGTGGCAAAAGCTTCCCCTTCCAGGCCATCTTGAATCAGCACTTTCGCAAAAACCACCCTGGCTGTATACCCCTGGAGGGGCCTCATAGCATCTCCCCTGAAACAACTGTCACATCTCGAGGACAAGCCGAGGAAGAGTCACCTTCTCAAGAAGAGACAGTTGCTCCTGGGGAAACTGCCCAGGGCTCTGTGTCCACCACTGGGCCAGATTGAAACTTTGAGGGGGAGGGGGCAGACCCTCTTCCCCTTTGGGCCGTCAGCAGCCAGCATCAGGGCCCTGGGCTGGTACTTAGATTTACAAAATGCCACATCACCAGATCGGAAGATGCGCCCAAGATGTTGCCAAACTAGAGGATGAGCAACATACACAGAAGCACTAGAGGCTCTTCCCCTCCTCCTTCCCACCTCATCCTTTGGAAAATAATCAAGCAAATCAACTTTCTAATTCAGGGATCAACAGCCTTGGTTTGTTAACTTTATAAGAAAAAATTTTTTAACAAAACAATGATACATGGTCATTTATCTACCAGTCATGTTTGAACACTGTACTTGGGTCCATATCATCCTGGTGGCTATAATTGCCCAGATCTGAAAAAACAGCAGGAGCCTTGGTCATCTGAACCAGCCAGCCACAGGAGAGAAGGAAGTAGTCATGACGGCAGTAGGGAGGAGTCGTTTCTCCTCTTCCTTCCCTGCCAGAACATGCAGTTTCACATCTGAAGAAAAAAAAACGGTATCCTGGTGGTTCTTAACTGTTTTGAAAGGTTAGACCTTACCTTCGCTCTGATTAGGCATCTGACACTGCCTGATTGTTTCCTGTAAGCCGCCATCTTGGAGCGGTGTTGTGTGGGCAGCATCACCTGAAGCACTTTAGGCAACTGGAAGTGAAATGAGCAGCAGAGTGTTCGCAGTAGGTTCTGCTACATTTGGGGGCTTGAGTGTCCTATTGAGAAAGAGGGGAGCAGGGAAGGAAGTGGGGTTTTTGTGCGAGTGTCAAATGGCACAGAGCACTGCCACTTCCTGGTCGGGATTTGTACCCCATAGTGCTTAAATATCTTTGGGTGTTAAGAAATGGCTCTAGTCCAGATGAATTAATGTGTTAGGCTGAGTACCAAAGTTTCATCCAGTCTCTGTGGCTCCTCCTTTCACATAACAGCAATATTATACATCAAAAAGTGTCACTTTCCAGTGAAATGAGCCTGGACTGTATTTTTAAATCTACAGGTCTCCATATTTGATAACTTTTATATGAAGTTTTAAACACATTTTTTCTGCAATAGTGTGGTTGAAGAAATTCAACACTATGGTTCTTACTGCAACCACAATTCCATTTCCTTCTACACATGTAAAAGTTTATATTTTCAAGCCAATAGAAGAACCTCACTAAATCCATGTCTCGCGTCTGCAAACCTAGTAATTCATAAACCCATCATCAGCAAATTGCTGGTGACTCCAAGAGCTTTGCTTTTTAATAATACACTACAGGGCATTCACCAGAAAACATCATGCACAATCACGTTGCAATAAATTGATCAAAGGATCAGTTTTGATCAGGTTTGGTTACTTAATCATTCCTAAGATTTTTAAAACTTCAAGGGACCTTTTTGGTAATTCTGGGGATTTCTGAGATTCCTAATCCAGCACTGAGAGTCAGAAAAAATTTACCAAACATGTAGAGTTTTAGATGCCCTGTCTCGCATTCAGAGAATGGAGGAGGATTAGTAAGGGGTGCAGGCAAGGAGATGCTTACAGTGCAAATAGAAAAGAGAAAAACCCGTAGCGTATCCTAATGGATCTTTAGTGTTTTAAGAGTATTTAAATATGCAGTGGTTCGAGTTATTTTGGTGCGGAGGCATAGATGATTGTAAAAGAGATCCGGGGCAGGGCTGGTCATGCCTGCGCCGGTGAGCCATCTGTGAGAACGTTAGTAGCGTGCTCCCTTTCTGAGAATGCTTTGTGGTATGTGGAAAGGTGGGTGGAAAAGAATGGCATTTCTTTGATGACAGGAAGTTAGAGTGCAAAGAGTAGCTCATGAGCAATCTGCGAATTGTACGTACACACAGAGCTGCACCGTGTCCCTAGAGAGTGGTTATTTTCCCTTCTGGAAGAACGTGGAAATGCGTCTTGTAATAGGAATGTGATGATGCTACCATGTGATAAGAGCCTACCCTTACACAATCCGGGGAAGCCGTCTTTTGTCTTTCGGAGACATAGACTGGGGCATTCTCCTCTTCAGCTGGGCAACAGCATGATAGGGCCATCTTAGGGGCCAGCTATGCTCTGTGGCATAGAAGTGGATTTGAAATTAGCCTAAAATCCATAGGGAAACCTTTTAGCTGGTCATCTAGGCTGTCCGTGGACAGATTTTGCCATTACCGAATAGGCAGGCATGTGAGAAGGACAGAATATGCTGCTGTCGATGGAGCTTTCAAGCTTACCAAAAAAATGTTAAGTCCATCCTACTTGTGAGAAGTAGTATGCTGGAAAGTTCTTTATGCTTTGTTAGTTTCTTAGTTTTTTCTGTAGGAAATAGAGCTTTTTTAAACTGTTACCAAATTGTAAAGGCGAAGTGCAGTCATCTTTGTCAAGAGAGACTTTGCAGCATTTGTCAGTATTCCAGCCAGAGGATTAGCAACTGACCTTTTAAATGAAGTCGGGGCTGTTTAGTAGATGTGGAAATGCTGTGAGTGTTCGGTGGGTTCACGTCCCTTTTCATTCATTTGTCATAGGTTTCTGCTGTATTGATACTGTGAATAGAGTGCTACCAGGTCTTCCGGGACCACAGCAGCACAATCATGTTTGCTGGTTCTCACCTCTTAACTGGCTTAGCCCAGAGCCATGAAATTCGTGAACGTTCAAGCCAGGCTAGCTTTTAAACAAATAAAAGTTTCTGAAAGCAATTTCCATGTTAGCCAGAAAAGATATTATTATTCTAAATAACTATCCAAGATTCTTATTCAGGTTCACTGTGACATTGTCCTAGTCCTTAGCTAACATCACTGTAGGGTCATAGGGTTAGTAGTGTTCTATCTACATTAAGGAATAGCTGTATTGGTGTGTGCACAGAGGATACCTCTCTTAGGGACGTACTAAATGGACTATAGCTAATGCCGAAAATTCATTACCAAATCTTAACTTGCACATGTCACCTTGTGAAGGGAACTGCATTAGCAGTCAGAGCTAAATCATCATTAAGTACTTAAATGCCATGAAATAGCAAACACTGGGACCATTTTCATTCATTGAGAGGCACTTAATAGCAAAGGAGCTACCCAATATTGCCAGCAAAAGAAGAGAGATGGAAGTATATTAATCTGTTTTCATTCTAAAAGGTACCTTTTATTCTCTCTGAATTCTGATACCAGTATCTGAATATAGCATTGGCATGAACAGGAACACTGTTCTTAGGCAGAAAGGCTCTTTCTAATGACTTGTTCTCTCTTTACTCAGAACCATATTTACCTCTGAACCGAGCTGAGTTTTATTTTATGTAATTTGTCAACTACCCCCAAGCCATCATTGTACCAGTTAAATCTAATCTTGAATAAGTGAAAATAAAGGATAAAGATTGGAGAAGAAGGGAGATAGCGGTTGAGGAAAGTTTTCTTGTTACTTTGTTTTTTGGTATTTTTACATGTTTCCAGTTTCCAAAGATGTTATGACAATAGAAATAAACCAATTTCCTCCCACCTTCCAAGTAGAAATCTGGCCTTGGACGGAAGTTGGTCTGATGGAAGAGTGAAATCATGAGCCCCATCCTTAGCCAAGTAATCTCTGGTCAAGAAATACTTTTAAAAATTTCTAGCTATTACTTGACACTAATTTCATTTAACTAGTAAAAATTATATTTTGTTTGACTAGAAGATCTAATTTAAAGAAATAAAAACAACGGGTAATGGAAAGAAAATTAAATTGAGCAAAGACAGCCAGTCTTCTTTTTTTTTTTTTTTTTTTTTTTTTGACAGCCAGTCTTCTTAATCGTAGTGGAAGGCATTTAATCAGGAAAGGGTTGGAATCCTGGAAGTTTTTCTCTCTTTAGATCCAACAGACAGGTGTGTTTTGTTTTGCTTTGTTTTGTTTTTCCTCTTCCTCAGATGCTCTTCTCATCTACTTACTGGTTTAAGGCATAACAGAGAGGTCTTTATTGAACTTGTCTTTGAAAACAGGGCTCTTTACCTTTGCCATTTGGGAAGGGTGCACAACACAGAAGTGCTTTAGTTGCTGAGATTTAGAAATGGGACACAAAGCTATTAAGTCAGGTAAACTCCTGGGTTCAAGAGGATGCCCCTTAGCAAAGTATATCCCTAGAATTTATGAATCAGATCAGGGTTCAGCAGACTGAGGCCCCCAGGGCCCAATCCTGAGGCCATCTGTTTATCTAAAGAAAGCGATGGTGGAATGGGGACACACCTGTTCTTCAGGTATTGGTTCTACTGTGATGGCAAGGTCGAGTGCATTGTGACTCAGACCACATGACCAGCAAAGCCTGAAGATGTACTGTTTGTCACTTGACAGAAAAGTTTGCTAACTGCAGAATTAGATTTGAAACAGTGACCCCCCAAATTGGCACTCCTGCCACTTTGTCTTTATAATAGTTTGGTTGAGCTTTTAAATTCGTGTTGCCATGTATGCCTCAGTTTCTTGAAAGAGCTTGCCATCTTTTTCCAGATCTTTGTCTTGTAACCCTCTCTGTGTTCCTTCTTAATGATACCCATTGCTTTAAAAGCATTTAGAATAGCCTTATGATCTGTCCTTGCCTTGAAGGTGCAGGTTGATTAAAGTTTAGGATGGTAGTTACAGATGTAACAAAGTAATTTAAAAAATAATTCCCGTTCATAATAATGTAGGATTAAATGAGTACCATGTTTACATAAAATACTGTAAAAAAAAAAAAGTTAATGTTTTATAAGTAAGTTTTGCCGTTCCTCTGAGATCACTTGAACTGATTTGCATAATAATGGCAAGAATGAATTTTTTCCCATTAGTATTAAAAATTAACTTCTGTTATGAATAACTGGTTTGATTCTTAACCTAAAATACTGTCTTTCTAGATTAGAAACCTCTACCCTTTCTCTGTATTACAAACCTTCATTTTCATTTCCTCAAACTCACTCTGTCCAATGTGGAGTAGTAAAAACCCAAATCTTCTTCCCTTCCTTTATTTTTTTTTCCAATGAATGTTTTAAAATATGATGAAATCTCTGAGGATTTCAAATTGCTCTTAGACCCATCTTGCAATTTCTGTTACTATCATTTTTCTAAATATGTACTGGGCCATTATTTATTTGCTTTCTGAATGTTCATTCTTACTGTTCAAATAGCTTATTTATGCCAGATGTGCAAAACATGGAAAATGTTGGGATGATAATAAACAGAATTCCTTATAAGAGGAGAATATAATCGTTCCCTGTATGGAAACCATGCATAGACTTCTGAGTTAAATTTGTCAAGACAAAATGTTCTAGGCCATGCTGACACAATGTAGTGAATTTGATTCGTCCTTTGTTGTCAGCTCAACCAACACATACCAAGTTCAGATGAATGACCTAACCTCCAGTAGGGCACCTCTCTACTAGGCATTTTGTTCCTAAAGTTCCTTTTTTCTGAGTTGGACATTAGTAAGTATTATGTGTATGATA